AAAGCATGTGATCTGTTTTTTGATTTTATAGGGGATTATAGTTAAGAGATTGTCATGAGTCTCAGAAGAGACTTTGAACATTTTTTTTTTCTAAGACAGAAAGGTTTCTGTGTATTCCTAGCTGTCCTGGAACTCACACTGTAGACCAAGCTGGCCTCTAACTCACTGAGATCCGCCTGCCTCCGCCTCCCAAGTGCTGGGATTAAAGGCGTGCGCCACCAACGCCCCGATTTCTTTCCCTTCTTAACATAATCATGCTGTTGACCAAATTGGTCTCAAACTCCTGGACTTAATCCATCCTGCCTCAGCCTCCAAGTGCTGGGGTTGAATGCATGCACCTCCATCCCTCCAGCAGAGAGGGATGCCCACATGCACACATACACACAAATGTAAAAGAAAATCTGAAGTAAAACATAATTAAAAATAATCATTTCTGAAATGATTTCCTTTTATTTGGGGTTCAGTCAAGACTAAGTGGAAAAGGGGTAAGCCAAAGAGTGGGTGACACCCAAGGTAGACTCTGAACCTGAAGCTTCTCTCTCTGAGACTGCTGCCAGCAAGGCAGGCTGGGTGCTTCCAAGTACTCTAATCTCTCTATTCTCCCTTGGAGAAACTGGGGCAAACTGACTTGGCTAGATAAAGACGGGCTTACAGTTCCTGAGTTGGGTTTAAGTGGGGGTCCTGGGATGTCCCACATCTGCCACACAACCTCTTGGGCTGGACGCTTTTCCTTGGAACCAGCCAGCAACTGGAACAGCGGGTGCCATATTTCTTGTACCTGGAGGTGGGAGTGAGGGAGTAGGGTATAAGAATCCACCATTTAGGAAACCATTTTCCTCAACAGGTGGCTGTTTTTCTTTCCCTCGTTCCCACACCAGCTGAGTCCAGTTTCATTGGCCCACCCCCAACACCTCTGGGTTGAGGACCTGATGCCACAGGCATTGCAGAGAGGGGTCCCATCTTCAGCATCTCTCCAGAGTGGAGTCCTCTGGGTTCTACAAGAAGCACAGCGCCGGGGCCCTGGAGTGTCAGAAGTCAAAAGGCATAGGGTCAAAGGCCGGAAATCAATTTCAGAGGCCCGTGTAGGGTAGAAAAATCCAGGGGATGGTCTCTGTTAAGGCTTCAGTAGCTCTGGGTCTGTCTTGGGTGTCGCCAGATAGAAGGCAGGAGGAATTGGGATAAGGGGGGGCATGGAGAAAGACAGAGAGGATGTGAAAATGGCACCCTCAAGATATTCCTAGCTGAAGTGTCTTTATATCTCACCGAGGGCCTCGCTGCCTCCTGGGCTGACAAGGGCCTTGGAAGGGCTTGCAGGGGGCTTTTGTAAACAACTTCGGCCAGGCAAGCTGCAAAAGGACAAGACATAGCACTGGAGAGTCTGTAAGGTGGTCTCTCAAATACTTCCATCCTTCGCTACCTTCCTTTAAAATTAAAGAATTTTATACTTATTTATAAATTTATTAAATCATAATAAAATAAACTTAAAAGTAACATTGTCACAGGAAAAATAAAAATTAAATTCTCTCTTTACTTTTTTTTTCCCATGAGACAGTGTTTTCCTGGCTGTCCTGGGACTTGTTTTTTTTTTTTTTTGTAGACCAGGCTGGCCTCGAATTCGCATAGATCCACCTGCCTCTGCCTCCAGGGTACTGGGATTAAATGTGTGTGTCACCACCGTCCAGCCTCTCTTACTTTTGAGACGAGGTCTTAGTAAACTGCCCTTCTTCAGCCTCTGTTGTGGCTGCAGTGACAGGCCTGCACAATCTCTTGTTTTTCTGGCTGAGTGCTGGGATTGCAGGTGTATGGCATCATGCCTGGCTGGAGGTAAAGGTCTCTCCTGTATCCCAGGGCTTTGTGCATGGTAGGCAAGCACTCAACCCACTAAACCCCAGCTCCAAACTAAGATTCACTATCAACGTTAACAGGTAATCGCTCAGGAGGCATCTATGTCAAAGTCCTGGCTTTGAATCCCACTAGCAGCAATAAGATAATTAATACTGTATTTAGTCGGGTATGTTACATTCCTGTAATTCCAGTCTTAAGGGGCTGAGGCTGCAGGATGGTGAAATTCTGGGACAGCCTAGTTTATATACATAGTAAGACCTTGTGGCAAAAATTAAAGAAAAAAAAAAAAAAACCAAACAAGTAGTTGAATAAAATTAGCTGAATGTGGTGGTACACACAGATAATCCCAGCACTACAGTATCACAGCAGGGTTAGAAGTTCAAGGACAGCCTGGGCTATATGAAATCCTGTTTCAAAAAACAGTAGTGTTAACAGAATCCCACTCAGGGCTTTTGAAGTAGCTCAATGGATAAAAGGACTTACTGCCAAGCCTGATAACCTCTTTGAACATTGGAACATACACAATAGAAAAAAAACAACTGCAAGTTGTCTTCTGACCTACACACACACACACACACCGGCCATGGCACATGTGTACCCCCAAAATAAATAAATGTAATAAAAATAAAATTTTTGCATGAGGATGTGTGTAGGTTCTAACAATAATCCTTTTTTATTATTCCGTTTTCATTTGGTGTGTGTGTGTGTGTGTGTGTGTGTGTGTGTGTGTGTACCACAGTGTATGTCAGTGTGCATGTGTATAGAGGTCAGAGGGCAACTTTTAGGAGTCAGTTCTCTTCTTCCACATTGGTCCTAATGATGGAATTTAGGTCATCTGGCTTTGCCTGGGGTCCTTTCTCCACTGAGCCACCCCCCACTTCCCCACCCCCCCACCCCACAGGCCTGGATCTGTGGGGGTTTTTTTTGTTTGTTTCTTTTTTGAGAGCAGGTTTATTTGTGTAGCCTTGGCTGTCCTGGAATTTACCCTAAAAACCAGGCTGGTCTCAAACTCACAGAGATCGCCCTGCCTCTGCCTCCCGAGTGCTGGGATTAAAGTTATGTGCTACCACTGCCCAGCAATCTGTATATTTTTTGAGCTGGGTCTTTAGCTGAGGCTAGCCAGCTTCCAACTCAAGATCCTGACTTCGTGTCCTGGGTGCTAAGATTACAAGCTTTGCGTTTGGGGTGTGTTGTGTTTTTAAAGTGGTTTTTTTGTTTGTTTTCCAGACAGGGTTTTTCTGTGGAGCCCGGACTGTTCTGGAACTCTCTTTGTAGACCAGGTTGGCCTTTAACTCAGATCTGTCTGCCTCTGCCTCCAGAGTGCTGGGACTAAAGGCTATTTTTAAAATTACTTTTATTTATGTTATGTTTGCTTGCTTGCATGAATTTATGTGCACTACATGTGACTTTAAATGTACTTTATTCCCAGTATGCTCTTTTAAGCCCTTTTCATTCTGTCTCGAGACAGTCTCATTAAGTTGCACAAGCTGGCCTTGAATTCACTCTGTAGTTCAGGCTGGCTTTGAACCTTTCCATGTCCTTCCTTCCTCAGTCTCCCAAATAGCTTGGATGTCAGGCCTCTACTACCAGCCCTGGCCTGTAAGTGTACCGTTATTTTATTTAGGCATACATTATCATGGCTGAGAGTCCCTACCTGTAGGTGGGTACAATCTGGAGGCTAGAATCCGGCTGTATCTGAAACTCCAAAGTCACCCCCTTGAACCTGGGGTCCACTTTCTCAATGCCCATTTGGGGGTTCGGCTGCTTCCGTGGTCTTCTCTGGAGTGAGGCTGGGGAAGCAGCACTAGTAGGTTCCGGGTTGGGGCACTGTGTGCTCTTGGGATTCCTTGCCATATTTAGGGAGTCTGACATCCCTATGACCATCAGCTCCCAGCAAGGCCCCAGGGCCTGAGTGGCTGGTGAAGGGGACCCCAGTGGCCCCTTTTCTTTTTCTTGGAGAAAAGGCAATGCTGTGCTGACCGAGTCCTGGCACACAGGCCACAGGGACCTGGGGGATAAAAAGCAGTAAGGCGTGGCCACCCCTTTCCTGGGGGCTTGGATTTGATAGGTATGGAGAGGGGTGGAGCGTAACCCAGTTGGTGCCTCTCCTTTGGTGACCGAGTGTTCCACCTGGGGCCAGAATCTTGGGTTATTAGGTTTAAAAGTTGCAAAATAATTGTTAGCAGAGACGAATCCCGAATCCCCCCGACTCCCCCCCCCCGTCAC